GTGTCATCTACTTGTATGTATACTATCACATAAACTGCACTTTCTTTAAGGGTGAGAACAAATTTATTCCTGTATTCACCAGATAAGTGCTCAGTAAATCCTTAAGCCAAATACTGAATGTGAAGGACTTAGAAATTAGGTGAAGGGAGATGTGCTTGATTTTATGAGGAATAGGAAATAATTGTTATTTATTTTGAGCAAAGAAGTACAAATCACATTGAAATAAGGTAAATCTGATTATCTTAAGCAAGCAATTTCAGCAGAAATCCATTTGACCCCACCATAATGTCTGACAGCAAGAAATGGGTTTTTCCTGGATTCTCTTCTCTACCCTGACTGCCAGATTTTTAAGATTAATTTATTTAATTGGGAGAGAGAGAGTGAAGGAGAACATGAGCAGAGGGAGGGGCCAGCGGAGAGGGAGAGAATCTCAGGCAGACTCCCCACTAACCATGGATCCTGACATAGTCTCCTCATGGGGCTCGATCGTAAGACCCTGAGATCAGTGGGGTACCTGGGTGGCTCAGTGGGTTAAAAACTCTGCCTTCGGCTCAGGTCATGATCCTAGGGTCCTGGGATCAAGCCCTGCACTGGGCTCTCTGCTCAGCAGGGAGCCTGCTTCACCACCCCTCCTCTGCCTGCTGTTCTTCCTGCTTGTGATCTCTGTCTGTCAAATAAATAAATACAATCTTTAAAAAAAAAAAAAAGACCCTGAGATCACAACCTGAGCTAAAATCAAGAGTCAGGTGCTTAAGAGACTGTGCCAGCCAGACACTCCTAATCCCATGACTTTTAATACTACCTATGTGATATGTGTCATTGACAGTCAATGACTCCCAGCTTTCCATCTGTAGTCTCAACTTTTCCTTGAGCTTACTCCAATGCTTCACTGATGCCTCCCTTGGATATTTAATAGGCATGGGAAATTTATCTCCAAACAGAACTTGTGAATTGCCCTCTCAAACCTGTCCTATCCCCCTCCCATACTCCCTCTTAGTATCAATAACCATCATCCAACATTGTTCCAGCCAAAACCCAAAGAATGACCCTTGATTCCTCTCTTTCCCTTATGAGTCCTTCTCACACTGAAGAAAGCCTACTAGCCAGACTCATAGTTCTTCTCCCTGTAAAATATATCCCAAATCTGTCTAATTCCTTCCATTTCTACTGCCTCACTGTCTTTCAAGTAACACAAACATTTCAGTGGCTTCCTATTACACATAAAGTAAAACTCAGACATCATACCATGTGACCTATGAGTCCCTTCATGATCTGGTAGCCCTGGGGTTCCATGTGGCCATACAGGTCATGCAGTACACAACCTTCCAGGGTATTCCACATCTCCTCATTCTTAGTCACTCTTTGTCAACACTTTTAGTATCATTCCCTCACATTCTCTGTGCTTATTCCCTCCCCATGTCTTCAGGCCTACATCCCAACTCTACATTCACCTCTTGGTGCCTACCTTTGTCCATTATATGTACATGTCCAATATTCTCAATATTTTAGCAGAAGGATGTCTTTACTCATTCACTGAAGCTGAAATCTAACTTCCTTCCAAGGGCAGCACTTCTCCTACTCTTTCTATACCAGATGCCCACCACTTCCCTTCACCCTATTCTACTGTAGAACTGGGAGGCAGCATTGTCATATTCTTGGTTCTTGTGGGTCACCCCTGGAACATTATGGTTCCACTTTCCTGTAAATATCCTCCTTCTTGCCAGTACTTAGCACCGTCATTTACTACTTCTACCTTTTCCTTTTCAGGTCCCCTCATTCACAGATATAATGTTGGAGTCTAATCCACAATCTTCTTTTTCTCTACTACTTGGCATCATGAGTGACTTGCACATCCTGCTTGTTTGATATTTTTTGACCTTCTAGAATCCAATTATTCAACAACCTCCATTTACTCCACTTTGTCAGTCCACATTCAAGGCTATGCTCTGGATCTTATTATATCATAAAACTGTTCCTTCCTTGAATTTTAGGGGCCAGGCTATTTTCTTTGACCCCAATTTCATGTTCTTCCTCCCCCCTCTTTTAGATTCCATCTCATTTTTCACTTTTCTGACACTTGCCACTGTCAGTTACTCTGTTCTCTTTCAAACTTGTTTCCCCCATAGGTCTACTCACTGGTTTCACTTCTTTAGCAGACCTGGAAATGTTGCTCAGAGATCTGTCCATCCCTCTCTTTGTCTTTCTTTTTTGTACTGTCTTTAAGCAATCTCAAGCACCCCCGTTTGCTGTTAATTCCCAAATTATCAGACTTCTCTTCTGCAATCCACAATCATACAATCAACTGCTTGCTAGATGTTTCCACTTGGAGTCCCACAGTACCTTCAAAACAATGAATTCCCACACCGGTTAGGATGGCTAGTATCAAAACAACAACAGAAAATAACAAATGTTGGTGCAAATGTAGAGAAATTAGAACCCCTGTGCCTTGTTGGTGGGAATCTAAAATGGTACAGCAGCTATGGAAAACAGAGGGTCCTCAAAAAATTAAAACTAGAATTACTATATGATCTAGCAATTCTGCTTCTGGGTACATATCTAACAAAACTGAAAGCAAGGTCTCAAAGAGTTATTTGCATACCCATGTAACCAGCAGCACTATTCACAATAGACAAAATCTGAAAGCATTCCAAATGTCCATTGACAGATGACTGGATAAAGAAAATGTGGTACACAAAATGATATATACAACGGAATATAACTCAGCCTTAAAAAGGAAGAAAATTCTGACACATATGTTAGGCAAATCTTGCTGATATTATTCTAAGTGAAAAAGCCAACCAGTGGGAAGGGGAAATGGGGAGTTGTTGTTTAATGGATATAAAGTTTCAGTTTTGCAAGATGAAAATTCTGGAGATTGGTCGTACAATGTTGTGCAAATACTTTACTGAACTGTGCACTTAAAAAATGGTTAAGATGGTAAATTTTACATATTTTGACACAATTAAAAACAAAACAAAAACCTGTGTCTTAACTGAACTCAGTACATTTATTCCTCAACCTGCTTCTCTTCTGGTTTTCCACGTCTCAGGGACAGCCACTAACCAGTCAACTAGGCAGCAAACTGGGTATGAACTGAAATTCTCCCTCTGCCTCATCCTTCTTTGTCAATCCAGTCACCAGGCTTTTTGAGTCCATTTTCTTAACATCTCTTTATATACTCCATGCTGTCTAGCCCCACTGTGGGTATCCTTCTCTGTTCTCACCCAGAATTGTTGCCGTGACTACTTTCTAAATACTCTCTCTGCCCTAAATCTTGCTCATTTAAGCCATTTTCCATTTTGAATAATTTCCTCCCCCAAAACCCCAGAGGTGAACAAATTATATTCACCCCTAATAATACTTTAACTGTACTCCATAGGTTGCTACTACTTAGAATTAAAAGTAAGAATCACTCTGATCTAGTCCCTTTTTTTCCAGTTCAGAGCTCCTGTTGCAGTTTGGGCCTCTTTTCACACAACACAGTCCAGCTGTACTCAACTGTTAGTAGTTCCAGAGAATGTGTTGTGTGCCTCTACACCTTTTTCCATGATGCACTCTCTATTTGAGTTGCCAGGAATGTGCCTCCCCATCCTGTCCACCTGGTGAACACCTGGTTTTCTTGGAAGACAAGACAAAACTCATGTCTTATATGAAACTTCTTCTGACCATTTCCCTTTTTCCTTCACTCAATCAGAATTTATTTTTCCTCCTTTGTAACTCTTATCCATTAAACAAATTATTGCTTCTGTAACATTGTATTATTACATTTACTTTCTTTACCTGTGTGGGTTCTTTATTTCGGATCTTTTTAGAGGCAAGACTGTGCCTTGTTTCTATTTATATTCTCAATGCCAAACACAGTGTCTACAATATTGTACATGTATATTAAAAGTTGGTTGAATATATCACTTATTAATGGATATAAATTGAAGATTTATTGATCATTTAGTCAACAAACACTTATTGAATATTTGTGTATTTTCTACTGTTGGAGAGACCAGGCATCTAGTGCACAATCTTGTAGGAAAACAGGTATGCTAAAACTTATCTCATCATATGGCAAGTACTTAGCAGAGGTGAAAATTCTTCATGGATCAGGGAATTTATTAACCATTGTGCCTTTGGAGCCTACATCAGTGATGATACTCAGTGTTTAATAAAGAGTGCTTGCATTGAACTAAACCTGTGAAATATTCTGGGCTCAATGTTGACTTAATTATTCAGGTATATAATGTTCCAGGCAGGCAGGGAGTAGGTGGAGAGAAATTGAGAAATCCTGAAGGATTTTGGTGCCATTATAAGGAGTCTGGCTGTAACCTGCAGGCAAACAGGCAAGGAGAGGCTTTTAAGCGGGAAAATGGTAGGGCCAGCTTAGTTCATTAGAAAACTGAATCGGAAGGAGAAGAGATGTATACTGGTAAATGATAGGGGATCATTACTATTGTACAGTTGAGTGATGATGGTAGAGTAAGCCATTGACGGCAAGGACGGATGGGCCTAAGGGGCTGGATTCTAGGATTTCTGAAATAGATCGAGGTCTGGTGCCAATGAGATGAGGGAAGATGGAGAAAGTGAAAACGAGATCAGTCGGGTTTTCATGAGACTTGAGCGCTATAACGTATGAGACAGCCATCTATCAACTACGAAACATTACACATCACTTGGTTGTTTTTATCTTCTCTGGCGTTTTTTAGTTTAGATGGGCAAAGCCACTTTTAGAGATCCAAGGAAAATGTCAAATTTCAGATTAGCTTTTATCATTTCCGAGACTTTTCAAGATGCAGGGAAAGATAATCCGAGCACAGGAAGAGGAAAACACACACACACGCACGCACACACACACGCGCGCGCACGCGCGCACGCGCTATTCACAGACCTTGCCTCTCAGCCAGGAGCCCGGAGCCCCGCCCACTTCTTCCCAGCCCCACAGTCCTTCCGCGGTTCTCCTCCCTAGCCAATCACGCTCTGTCTACGTCATCAATATGCGCTGCCGACACGGGACAAATCAGAGGCAGCACCACGTGTACTGTGTTGACTGTCAAAGCGTCAAGGAACCCAATTCCCGGAAGCTGTGAGTTCTAAAAGAAGTTCCTGTACTCGAGTGCCCCGAGTCTGCGAACCCCCAATCATGAGCGCCCCGGGAGTGCTCTCCTTTACCCAGCAAGGCTGGGAGCAGGTGCTGGCCAAAGTGAAACGGGCTCTGGTCTATCTAGACGCCCCCTGCGCGGAGAGCCTGCACTGGGGCTGCGGCTCCACGCGGCTTCTGGAGGCGGTGGGAGGTCCTGCGTGTCACCTGCGGGAGTTCGAGCCCGCAGCTGTCGGTGGTGGAGCCGAGCAGCCTAAAGCGGTGTTTGTGCTGAGCTGCCTGCTGAAAGGCCGGACCGTGGAGACCCTGCGGGATATCATCTGCCGCAGTCACTTCCAGTATTGTGTGGTGGTCACAGCGGTGAACCACGCTGTCCACCTCACCGCTAATCATGTGCCGGCGGCTGCAGCGGCGGAGCTGGAAGGGCAGCCGGTGTTCGAGCAACTGGAGGAGAAACTGTGCGAGTGGATGGGCAATATGAACTATACCGCCGAGGTGCTGCACGTCCCGTTGTTGCTCGCACCTGTTGCTCCCCACCTTGCCTTGACTCCAGCCTTTGCTTCCCTTTTTCCATTGCTACCCCAGGATGTGCATCTCCTTAACAGTGCCCGACCAGACAAGAGGAGGCTAGGAAGCCTGAGTGAGGTGGATGCCACCGTCCTGCCTCCTGAGCTGCTTCTGCAGATCAGGTGCCTGGTGTCAGGCCTCAGTTCTTTGTGTGAGCATTTAGGGGTGCGGGAGGAGTGTTTTGCTGTAGGTTCCCTCAGTCGTATCATCGCTGCAGATATGGCTAATTATGGCCCTGCCAAGAACAGGAGAAAGACTGCCGCAGGCAGGGCATCCGTGGTCTTTGTGGACAGAACTCTGGATCTAACGGGTAAGTGAGATTGCTATGGGTTTTCCTAACCACTCTCCAGGGTTCTGGGACTTTTACTGATTCAGCATTTATTTTATTGACACTAACTATGCAAAGTTGAGGATACAGAGATGAGTTAGATGGACACAGTCCCTGATCTCACAGAGTTTGTTATCTAGAGGGAATACAGACAAGCAAATTTGCAATTAGAGTCAATTCGTTAAATGCTGTACTGGGTAAATCCATCTTGAACATGCACTGTTTTGTTAAACAACTACATCTAGCCAAAGGTATTGGAGAAATTATGCTGACGCTGAAGAGAACTGTACACCTGGGAAATTTTTAGAAATGTGCAGATGACAGTATTCACAGTAATCCTTCATAAGGGGGCTCTAATTTGTTGGAGAGGTGTTGACATATGAACCAGTGGAAGAAAAACTGTACAACAATACATGAAATTATCATTAGATAAGTATCATTAGACAGTTTAGTTTTAGGCTTCTATAAATGAGGTTAATAAATAAACTTGAAGTATTACCAAAAACTGAGATTAAATACTATTGTAGAAAATATTTTCGAGGGTTCATTGATTTATTCTTAGCTGTTATTCTATTTAAGGTTAGGTAGATCATCTCAAATTTTAATAATGTATCATTTATATGCATAGAGAACAAACATAACCCTTAAGATAGATGAAGAAAAAACACTTTCTGATAGTGACATGTGTGTATTTTCAAAGGTCAATTTTATTGTTCTCTAATTAGGTAGATATAATGCTGCTAGGAGTATAGCCCGGCCACACCTAAATTCAGGGAGAATGATCAGGAAACTGACATAGGTAATCACTCCCTTTAGTAGGTCAGGGAAAAAAATAGAATGAAGTTATAAAAACCACATAGCTCTATTTGAGTTTTTGAACTTATATATTAATTTTCAGATCATAAAATAGAAAGTAAGGTAAGTGGTAATACTGTGATGTAAGCTTAATTATGTGACTGGAGAAACAGGTGTCTAGTCTGTCATTGTGATTAGGTATAAGTAAAAATTGTAACATCCCAGAACTCTTGGAGGATTAAAGATCACTTGAGTAGTTTATGCTTGCTGAATTTTTGAGTGTGTGGTATATACTGCTTATACTTCTATTTTTATATACTTCTACTTTATTTTCCAAATATGATATTGTTTAATAATTAATCAAGGTCACATAGTGTTGTGCCCTGTTGACTTCAGTTAGGCAGACATTAATGTCCGGGTCCTCCAGCATCATGGTAACAGCTCTCTAAAGTCTTAGGCATGACTTCTTTGTATATGACTCTTGAAAGTATAAGTCATCAGAAAACTTTCCTATCTTCCCATCACTGAATTACCAGCCTTTGTACATCTGTACCCACACTTTTTCTTTCCTTGCTTTGTATTAAAAAGGGATATACAGTCCCTGCTATATCTAATGCCAGCTTCTTCACCTTTGCAGACTAGGTCCTTGCCCTTTTCACTTCTCTCACAGATTTACCTCTGTCATATACCCTCCCCTGTTCCTAGATCATCATTTGAAAAAAATCTTTTTTACTGGATTTTCCTGGTCAGCATACAACGGAATGTAACATCTCCTTCCTTAACACCTCATGCTCCTCCAGCTTGTTTTATTTTTTGCTCCATTTTATAGCAAACTTGAAAGAGTTGTCCATATTTGCTGTCTCTGCCATCATCTGCTCCAATTTTCCCCCTGCCCCACTTCAGTTAGGATTTCCCCTCTGCAGTACTTCCCAGCAATTTCCTCTGTCAAGATCATGAATGACCATCATATTGCCAAGTCCAGTATTCAGTTAGCAGGATTCATTTTGCTCAGGCTCAAAGCAGCATCTGACACAGCAGAGTAGAGGATGCAAAGAGTTAAAAAAAATAATATTAAAAGATGCAAAAAAGATATACAGATACACAGTTTCTTCTGTAACCCCGTCAGAATGTAAATCTGACATGTCATTTGTTCGCTCACAGCCCTCCCACAGCCTTCCATCACGCCTACTATCAAATCCAGATTCCTTACCATTGTTTTCAAGGCCATACGTGACCTGCCTGTGTGTAGCTTTCCTACCTTGTCTCCCACTGATCTCGCCTCACACATTACTTTCCCACCACGCTACCCACCTGGCCGTCCCTCAACACGCCTATATGTCCCAGCCTCTGAGCCTTTGGAGTTTTTCTGCAGCTCACCTTGGAATGTTCTTCCTTCAACTTTCTCTATGGCTTTCTTGTTCACTTCCTTTGAATCTCTGCTCAGATTTCTGCTTCTCAGACCAGCCTTCCCTGACCACCTTCTTTAGCTACTCTGTAACCCTAATTGGGATTAGTTTGTTCCTGTGGTCCTAGTATCATATAAATTGAAGTCTTTTTAATGGATACCTTTTGAATAACCACTCAAACTATCTTCAAGATGAAAAGATTAATAATTCATTTATGTCAAAGATGTTTCAACGTGGTATTATCATCCCATGTTGGAAATATTCAGGGCTGGTGTTCAGTTCGTACATAGCTGTATTGTAAAGCCTGTTTTTCAAACATTTAAATTCTTCTGTATTAGTGAGTAAAAAGAACTCCTCTTTCTTGGGACTACAAGTCACCCAATACTGTTGCCTGGTGGAGAAGAGTACTAGGGCCCCGGAGAGTACTAGGGTGGACACAGCTGAGCTGCTGAGGGTACTGAGGCAGCGAGGGTGGGTCGTGATAGTTGTGGAGATGCAGCACTTGCCCTTTTCTCCAATGTGGCCCCAAACTGAATCAGGTGGTAGGTAGGTGGTTTGGTGGCCTTAATTGTGGTCATGGGTGCTCTCTGTCCTTGGTCCAGATTCTGGTGTCCAGGAACATACCTGATCACCATGCTCAATTTTTTTTCTGATCTGTCTTGAATGTAACAAGCATAAGGAGCTGGCGAGTCATAACAATGAATTTAATGGAGGAACTGTTACAAGAGTTTGGTGTGGATTCTCTCTCTCTTTTTTTTTTTTTTAAGATTTTATTTATTTATTTGATAGAGAGAGACACAGCGAGAGAGAGAACACAAGCAGGGGCGGGGGGTGGGAGAGAGAGAAGCAGGCTTCCAATCGAGCAGGGAGGCTGATGTGGGGCTCGATCCCTGGGCCCTGGGATGATGACCTCAGCTAAAGGCAGATGCTTAACATCTAAGCCATCCAGGCGCCCCATTGGTGTAGATTCTTACCTCAAACTGTGACTTAGATTGGTGCATTGTTTAGCTGGTGATAACTGCAGCATACAAAAAATTACACCACCAATTTCTAAAAATGAAAAGCTGATTTGGAAATTATTGGAATGATTTGAATGGTCTGAATTTCAACTTGACAGCAGTTTTAATATAGAGATCAGAAAGAAATACATTTTTAGGTTTTGATTTAGGTGTGAATATCCATAAACACATTATTTTATTTAGTTTATTATTAGTTGTTAAATATTTTGGATACATCCTTGATAATTTACCATTAGAAGATTTATATGCTGATATATCTTCTTAGATGTAAAATTAGCACTATGAAAAATAACCTCCAACAATTCATAAATATCCAACATTCTTAACATCCTCCTACAGTATAGATAAGCTTCTTTCTCATCTTTTTGTCATCATCTTTGCAGGAAGTAATATTAATTTGTCTAATATTTGGTTTATTTTTTTCAGCAAACATTTATTGAAGGCTCGCTGTGTGCCAAGTATTGTTTCAGATCTAGGGAAACAAGATAGACAATTTCCTTGCTCTCCTGAAGCAGTTGATAAGCTCTCAGCACTTAAAAACATAGAAAGTTTGTTGTAATTATTTGAGAAGTAAATGGTTGCTGATGTCTGTGGCTTACTTTTACCATGTGTAGACCACCCAGAAGCTTCTCTCTCTGCAGACAGAGTACGTTAGGCATGTTTGCATAGGGGATTTAAGTACAACATTCTATGGACTGTTATGGCTTCTGATTTGTTTCAGGAGAGAATTAAAAGTTAGTTGTGATTTATGAATCTCTGAAAGGTTTGAGTCTGGTTTCCTTTCCATTCTCTTTTGGCTCTTAGGATTGACTAGAGTGCGTGAAGTCCAAAATAAAAAGGTAGGAGGCGGCAGTAACTCTGGGAAATAAATTTCTTCTGGTTCAGTTCTTCTGAATTTTAGTTCTGTGTAAACTTTTAAGTTAAATCAAGTCAATTAAAGTGTGCTGTGAAATGTGTAAGCCGATGATTCACAGACCTGTACCCCAGGACAAATAATACATTATATGTTAATAAGAAAAAAGATTGACTTCCAATACAAAGGTTCACTCCTATTCCTGGGATTATGATACACTGATGCATTTATATTTGCTTTAAGATGTTTATATTATTTGTTAAAGTATTGAAATTTGAGACTACTAATACTAAATGTTTGAGAGCATGTTACTTTTCTCAGTACTCTACCTATCTAAGCTCTTTTAATTTTCACAGTTGTTCTTTGAAGTATTATAATTATCCCCATTTTACATGAGGAAACAGATAAATTGAGGAGTTAAGTAACTTGCCCAAGATCACGCAGCTAGTAAGTGGCAGTTAGGATTTGAACCTTGGCAGAGTACTCCAGAGCTTATGCTCAGAACCCATCTTATATAAATTACTACCGAGAAATGTTTGAGAAGCCTTGTCTTAAATAGCACAGATGCTGCTGGTAGGGTGTCCAGAAGCTAGCAGCTTCACAGACTAAACACAGTAGTTGGGCCCTGCTGCTGCTGTAGTGTTCAGAAAAATGACTTATTCTTCCCCCAATCTGATTTTCCACAAAATACAAAGTAATTAACTAATATCTTCATTTTAGAGTTCAGTGGATACTGTTTCAAGTAAACATTAAGTGTGAGACATGATTTAGAAGCCCTTTAAGACTCTTATTAGATGGCTGGTGTTAGATCCAGGCCAGTATAATAATTTCAAGTCCTAGCTTAGTACCTTAGTTGTTGTTTAATCTTCGTTGAGCCTTTTGAGGATTTGCTCATTTGTGAACAGGGTA